CTGGGGGGTGTGGGAGCCACCACGGGGTCACCACCCAGCCATGGGTGGCTCCTTGTGGTGCCTTCGGTCCCTGAAGGGTGTGGAGCCACCACAGGGTCACCACCCAGCCATGGGTGACTCCTCATGGTGCCTTCGGTCCCTGGGGGGTGTGGGAGCCACCCCGGGGTCACCGCCCAGCCATGGGTGCCTGGGATGGTGCCGGTGCCACGCTGGCTCCGCTCCCCCTGGGATCCCTGGGGATGGAGTTGGTGCTGCCATCGCCGAGGATGAAGGTGCCACCCACCCTCACGGGCACCGTGCCCTCTGTGTGGCACCAGGGCCGGGGTTTTGGGGATGGGCTGATCCCAACTGAAGCCTCCCAGAGCTGGGAGAGCGGCCACATCCCCGCGGTGGGAGACGAGGGACCGTCCCGGGCGCCATGAGAGTTTTATTCCCAAAAATACAGGGAGGAAGTCACCCAACCTAAAAACCTCCACCATGATCCCACAGACGGGTCCCTCTCCAGCTCCACGGGAATGGGATGGAAGCCTAGACCCATTCCCAGCTCCAGGGAGTGGAAACTCAAACTATCCAGCGAGGATCCAAACCTTTTCCATGCCCTAATTCAGCTCCCTTTGCCCGTCGGCACCTGCATGGATACAATTAACATTCCAGCTGATTTGGGAACTGCTTTGAGGATGAAAAGGCCTTTTCTGGGCAAAATGTGGGTTTTGGGGAAAACATGTGGATGCTGAGCCTCCGGATCCCGTGGCTTTGACCCCGTTCCCCAGGATTTGGTTGCTCCAGAGGCCGGTGGCACCGAGCCAAGAGAGATTCCACAGATTCCCAATTTATGGTGCTGCCGAGGCATGACCTCAGTGGGAACCTTCTCCAGGCACCCAATTAATTAATTAGCAAAGCTCCACAGGAGCCAGAAATGGAGCTGGAGCCGGCCCGGAGAAGGGAAGGCTCCAGGGAGACCTTGGAGCCCCTTCCAGGGCCTAAAGAGACTCCAGGAGAGCTGGAGAGGGACTTGGGATGAGGGATGGAGGGACAGGACACAGGGAATGGCTTCCCCCTGCCAGAGGGTTAGATGGGATATCGGGAAGGAATTCTTGGCTGGGAGGGTGGGGAGGGGCTGGGATGGAATTCCCAGAGAAGCTGTGGAAGTGCCCAAGGCCGGGTTGGAGCAACCTGGGATAGCGGGAGGTGTCCCTGCCCATGGCAGGGGGTTGGAATCCCACAGTCTCTTCCAACCCAACCCATTCCATGCTTTGAAGGTCTCACCCTCCGGATCAGGCCAAGCACCTTCTGCCGAGCTCGGCGACGTTCCTGTCACGCAACCGAGGACTCCTTGAATTCCCAAACTCCTGCTCGAAACCAGCCACATCCCAAGCTCCCCAAACATTTTTGTGGGGTCTTTTTTTTTTTTATTATTTTTTGGAGAAAACCACACCCAGGGGACACAACCACGCCGAGGTCCCCCTTGTGCCACCCCAAACCCCCCCGGGATGGCTCCGCGTGGCTGTTCACAAACAACAGGCTCCGTGTGGGAATAAAAATCCATTTAATTTCCATAAACTCTGCAGTGAGGAGACCAAGACACGGAGAAACCTCCACCCCTCCGGCTGACACGGGGCAGCTCCGAGGAGTTCATCTCATTCCTCCCCCCTCCGGCTTAAACCGGCTCAAATTTCATCCAGGTCGGGCCAAGAGCTGCCAAATTCCTCTCTTGAGGTCTCCAGAATTCCAGGGTGGCTCTCCCTGCTCCGACCTCAACTCCTCAGACGTGTCGTCCAGCCCCAACCACCCCACAAAACCTCAACGGGAAGGAACAGCCCGTTCCCAGAGCCTTCGGCTCCGCGGGGATGCCGGGATGAGGTGCCTGGTTCGGCAGCTCTCCGTGGTCCAGGTGTTGCCAGCTGTGGTGGGAATGGTGGTGGTGACCTTTTCCAGGGAGCTGCAGCTTCTCGGATGCCACCCAAGCGTCCCTTTCCCAATCCGGTGCACGGAGTTGCCTTCAACCGGCCCCAAACCATCGTGGCTTTTGTTTCAACAGCGGGAAGGGCATCACCAACCTCTTCCAGGGTGGAATATTTGCCCTACAGCACCTTGGGAGTGGCCCCTGTCCAGCTGGCTGGGCCCTGCTCCGAGATATTATCCCCAATAATCCCGGTGACACCCAGCAGGTCCCTCCCTAACCCCCTCTCCCCACGGGATTGGGGCGACCGGGGAATTTTGCGGGGGGCACCCACCCCCCCTTCTGGCAGCGCCAGCGACCAGGGCTGTGAAAAATAGCACCTCCTCACCACGTTGAGGCGAGGGACAACCCCGGAACGCGAGCCGGCGCCCGGCAATCCCCGAAACTGCGACCCACAGCCTCCTGATCCCCAGGAGGAATCCTGGCGGGGACGGGCGGCACCTCCGGATAACGGGGCGTCCCCGGCCCCGTGGCCAAGTGGGGGCGGTCGGTAGCCCAGATGTGGGCAGCGGTAGCCCCCGGCCTAGGCGGGGGGGCTGCGGCCGCGGCGCAGCCGCTGGGCCGTGGAGATGAGGGAGCGGAGCTGCAGCAGCTTCAGCGGCCCCACTTCCCGGGGGTCCTGCCCCTCCAGCCACCGCAGCGCCGTCTCCAGGCCTTGGATGGCTTCCCGAGCCGTGGGAAGCAACGGGTCTCCTCCTTCCCCGCCGCCTCGGCCGCCGGCTGCTTCCTCCTCCTCCTCGTCTTCCTCGGCGCCTTCCTCGTCCGCGTCCTCTTCTCCGTCCTCCTCATCCTCCTCCGCGCCCGGAGCGGCGTCATCCAAGTGCAGCCAGTCGGACACTTCCTCGGGAGCCAAGCGCTTGAAGGCCAGCGCTGCCAGGTGGGTCAGGTCGCTGAAGACTTTGCTGTCCCCTCCTCCTCCTCCTTCCTGCCCCGCTCCCGGGGGTTCTCCGCGCTCCTCCTCGCCGGGATGCGGCTCGAAGGCCGCGCGCAGCCCCAGGAGCCAGCACTTCTCGATGGATCCCGGCGGGATGAGATCCCAGGAGAGCCCGGCGAGGTACAGCATGTCCTTGAGGAGGAAGGACCTCACGAAGTCGCCGGGGCCGCCGGGGCCGCCGCAGGACACGGCCAAGCGCAGCAACTCCCGCTTGTAGAGCTGCTTGAAGGCCGACACCACGCCCTGCTCCAGCGGCGCCGGGATCCGGCCTCCCGCTCCGGCAGAGCCGCTCCCGGCGGGAGCCTTGGAGAGGAAGAGCGCGCGGATGGACCCGTCGGGCGTCTGCAGAGGCGGAGAATCCTCCCGGCCCGAGCCGCAGCGGGCCGGCGCCGAGCTGAGCAGCAGCACGGCCTTCTGCTGGAGGCAGCTCCGCCGCAGGTACCGCTTGACGCCCGGCACGAAGTCCTCGAAGAACCACGCCCGGAGCAGCGCCGGCGCCAGCGCGGCCTCGCGGCTGTAGCGGTAACACGCCGGGAACTTCTCCTGGTTGTGATGCCGGAGGCTGGCGGGATCCCGGAGCCCCCCGACCACCAACGGCTTGAGCTTGTGGGCGCCGGTCAAGTTGGCGGCCAGCAGCACCGTGACGCGCTCGCCGCGCCGCCGCGCCGATCCCGCCGGGGCGCCGCCGGGGAGAAGCTTCCAGAAGAGCCGGGTGACGTTGGCGTTGTAGATCTGCTCGTCGCCGTAGCCCCCGGCGTCGGGCAGAGCCTCGGCGCGGGCGGCCGGGGCGCGCTCGGGCTCGGCGGCCGCGCCGCCCTCGCCGTAGATGCGCTGGCTGGAGATGCCGTGGCGCTTCTGCCAGCGCCAGAACCAGCCGTGGCTCGCCTTGAAGGTACATTCCGGCCCGTAGATCTGCCGGGCGAAGGCTTCCGCCTGCGCCTGGATGAGGGGCCCGGAGAGCGGGACGCCGTGCTGGCGCAGCGCCAGGAACCAGGCGTAGACGGCGCGGTCGATCTCCTCCTCGTTGGCCAAGCGCATCTTCTTGCGCTGGGTGCCCACCTCGCCCCCGAGCTGCTCCAGGAACCAGCGCAGCTTCGCCTCGTCCTTCAGCCACCCTCGGAGGGTGCCCCCCGGCACCCCGAAGGCCCGGCACACCGACGCCTGGCGCTCGCCCTTCTTCACCCGCTCGATGGCCTGGAGCTTGTCCTTGATGGAGTAGGCGCGGCGAAGCGACATCTTCGCCGACACCCCCCCGGGGGATGCGCTGCTGCCTCCTCCTCCTCCTCCTCCTCCCCGCCGCCCTCCCGCCATTCCCCCGCCCTCCTCCGGCTCCCCCCCGGGCATGGAGCGGCCGCCGCGTCCATGGGAATGGGGGGCGCGTTATAACCGGGGAGGGACGCGGGGATGGGGCGCCTTTGTCCCCGCTCCGCTCCCCCGCATGCGCTGCTTCCCCCCCCCTCCATACACACAGAGCAGCTCCGCTCATGCCCCCCCATTTCCTTGCCGAGTTGGTTTCGTCCTCATAGCCCCGCCAGCGCCCGCGGGTTGTACCACTCTGCGAAAAGGGGGGTACGAAACGCATCGCTGCCCCCCCCCCCCCGGCCGCTTGCCCACCTCACGGGTTGTTCCACCGAGCGGGGGGTGTCTCCCCCTGCCTCAGGCGCAGCGCGGAGCCTCCCCCTTTTCCCGTTCCCTTCCAAAACACGCGAAACATCCCGGGAGAAGCAGGGAAGCCGTGTGTGTGTGTGGGGGGGTGTGGGTGTGAGGCGAAGCGAGGCGGCGCACCCCCATTTCCCGCGGAGTGGTACAACCCGCCGGCGCCCCAGCGGGGCGAGGACGAATCCAACTCGGCAAAGAGAAGGGGGGGGAGCTGCGTAACCTACCGTCTACCAGAAGGGGGTCTGCGCGTATCCCGCTTGCTCCGCGGGGATATTCCACAGATGCCTTTCCACGTGGAGTGGGATAATCCCAGAAATATGTGTTCAGCGCGTTGACTCGCCTCCCTAAACCCCGTTTTCCCCCCCCCGCCCG